TTCATTGATTTATTGCTCATTACTCAATAATTTATTATTTACGACAAGTTTATTCTCTGATGGGTTTCTATTGAGGTAGGATTGTATATGCAAGGAATGTTGTTGTGTTGTTTTGAGATAGGCTGTGATATGTGCGAGAAGTTGTGTGGAATAGCGATGAGTAAGGGTGGGAATGTGGTTCGCGCTAATGCACTGCAGTTACCGTATTTGGATGGATGTGCTGATGCTGTGTTGTCGATTGCCGTGATTCATCATTTGAGCACTGAGAAACGGAGGTTAGTCTTTGATCGATTGTGCTTTTTTTTCTAGAATATATATCCGCGTTTTTTTTGGCGACATTTGTTCGGTTGGAATTTTGTGATCTTCCGGAAATAAATTAGTTTCCCGTTCCGATACAATTTCATTAGGGCAGCTCTGATAGAAGTGACAGTCGAAATAGAGTTAAGGATTCATGCAATCGAAGAATTGATGCGTATTCTCCGAGTTGAGGGTCGTGCTTGTGTGAGCGTATGGGCGATGGAACAAACTCACAATGACGTCGTATCCGAGTACCTGAAAATGCGTGGCAATAAGTCACACGTTCAGGTATTCATATAATCATTTCAGAATTTGATGTGCAAAATGTTTTTGTGATTTATTTGTTGTATTTGTTTCGATGAATTGTTTACTTTACAGCATTTTATTTCGAGTTGTTGCGTTGCATGATTTAGATCTGTTTTACTCGAAGCAGTCGAAGAAACGGAAAACGGTAAATGAATTGAACTTTTAGATGAATCGAAGAGATAGTCATGGAAGGCTGCGGGTTCATGAAGGTCAAGATTTCACGCAGCAAGATATGCTCGTGCCGTGGCAGAATGCTGACGGAGAACGCTTTCTGAGGTTTTTACTTCTTGATTCTGATAGTTGTTCAACTCTTCATTCAATTCAATGTACTCATTGCATTCATGTCGTATTGTTTTTTAATTGGCATTTTTACAACTGAATGGAGATTCGAGACTTTTATGAAATGAGCACTTTGATGAATAAATGATACGTCGAGAGTGAATAATAATGATTATTCGGTTGTTTGATTTTGCAGATATTATCACTTATTCGTTGCCGGGGAATTGGAAGAGTTGTGTGCAAAGGTGAAAAACTGCGACGTCGAACGTTCTTTGTATGAACAAGGCAACTGGTTCGTCTTTCTCAAGAAAACAGCTGATTGATTAATTGATAAAAGTAACTATTGATCAAAGTTTCTGACATGTTGTTAATTAAATGTTGTTGTTATTGTTGATTGCGTTTATGATGACCACTGTGATCGATTTTTATTATTCGTGAAGAGATTAGCCAAACTTATTGACGTTGCTATTGTAATTGTATTGTTATTCTTGTTGATATCATAATTGCGAAGTTTATTTAACCCTATCACCAGTATCATTATCAATGATATTATTGTAATGGTTTTGATTGCTGTCAGTTGATGTTCTTTGTTGAATTTAATCGACTTTCAAAAGTTATTCGTGAAGTGATACATGCTTTGACACGGGTAACTTTCTTCATTCTGTTCGCGTTTCGTTTCGAAAATTATGCTAAAGTTTAATGTATTTCGTTCGGTTCATCGAAAGTTAGCCGTGTTCGTTAGGCATCGATAAGTGTTGTTACATATTGTTTTGTGGTTTTTGCCGTCTTTCACATTTGCATTCGTTTCCTTGTTTCGACAATAAAAATTTCGTATTATTGCCTGGCCACTGTGTTCATCATCCTAACAAATAATAAGTAAAACTCAAGTGAAACACTCATTCGAATTTGTTTAAGTGAATTTTTTCGATGCAATCCTTTCTGAACCTAGTCCATTCTTTTTATTCCACCTTAAAGACTATAGGTAGTGTTTTGAACATTCCTATTCCATTATGAAGGCAAATGCACTCCAAATTTATCATTATCATTATCTGGGGAGCGGGTGGTTTCCGAGCGTGATTGTGAGATAGGAATTCACATGTCCTATGCGATATGAGGGAGTAGCAAGTTTTTAGCAGTGATATTGCATCGAATTTGCATTTGGAGTGTTCACTTGAAAGCAGTCGAGAAGTAAGTTCTGGCACATGGATATATTGTTGAGTATCAACGTTTTGATGTTTATGTCTGTTGTCAATAACGATTGTTGTTAAGCAATGATCGTTGCGTAGAGCATGAACATCTTAGCAACAAAATTTCAAAATCACTCCATTTTTTCTGCTTGAATCCAATCGAGCACCGTTCACTGAAGCATTCAATCGAGTAACAGATTTCCGCTTGACTTCATTCGGTTATCGCCTTCCTTACTCTCTTTTCGTAACATACAATTTCACTTTGCTTATCCATCAAAGTTCTAGATTTTCATCAGAATAACTTCTCTCTAAGAATCATTAAAAAATGATCACACTTTTTAATAATTTCCATCAGAACAACATGCGAACTGATCGTGATGAAACTTTCATCCAAGGTGTATAAAATAAATGAATTGTATCGTTATTATGTGCTATCAGCTGTATCAACGATAAATTGCTTGTTATAATTCGTCTTGTTCTCGACATAAATGATTTGAAACAGATCTGGAGAAATGACTGACGGTGAAAGTATAATCGTAGCTGTTCGTGTGAGACCATTCAACGAACGCGAATTACAACGCAAAGTTAGTTGAAAAATATGTTTTTATTGCTGATGTCCCTTAAATTTCACATATAATTAATATAACACAGTTCACTTGCATAAATTTACATATCAGTTCAAGCAAGCTAAATACTCGCTCGCTTGATAGGCACAACTGATCATTGATATGCCCGATGGTCAGCATACATCAATTCGGAATCCAGCCGTACCAAATGAGGAGCCGAAATGGTTCACTTTTGATCACAGTTATTGGTCACATGACGGTTTCATAGAGGAAGAAAATGGATATTTTAAAGGTGTGGATGAACGATATGCTGATCAGGTTAATTAATTGAGTTGAATACACTTACACACAGTTCCATGAAACCATCAACACAACGTTTGAAGCTTAACACGGTTGTGTAACATAGAGCATAGATGTAAAATGCAGTAAGGTTGAACTGGAATAGAATTTATTCTCGTACTATTCGACCACATTGATCACCCAAGAATGGCCACATTCTTGATTCGAATAACTACTAAATAATCGATGAATTCAGCGGAAGGTATTCAATGATCTCGGTGAAGGGGTACTGGATAACGCATGGAAAGGCTATAATTGTTCGTTGTTTGCATACGGACAAACGGGGAGTGGCAAAAGTTATTCGATGGTTGGATATAAGAACAATAAAGGTTACTTGCATTCCATTTCATAGTCACATATTTAACAATCGTGCACACAATCGCTAAACTGAGCACAGTTCAAGCAATAGATCGGAATATCGTTTAATATCGGTAAAGTATTGAATAGCTTAAACTTCATGATGTGATAGTAATTCAGGGATAATACCGATAGTATGCGAGGAACTTTTCAATCGAATAGATGCACAATCAGCAAAAAACAGCGGCACTGAATATCAGGTTTCAAATTGAAACTTTCGACAGTTTATCTTAATGGGTATTTGTAATAACACCTTTTTGGGCAATGATTGCAATCAGCTGTGTGATTTAATGGTTGAATGAGCGATATTGTTTGTAAATCACTAATTCAAGTTGTTGATATTGTTAATAGAAAACGAAATGAGCTGCAGGCCCATTTATGACGAAATTTCATGTTGCATTGATCGCCACCTAATCTGCCAATCGATATTGATCAGGAATTGATTTACCGACTTGATGAATGCGAATTGATTTAAGGTTTCGATATCAATGTTCGAGATATATTGTGAGAAAGTGAGAGATCTACTCTCTGATAAACCACCGCCAAAGGGAGGACTCAAAATTAGAGAGCATCCAAAAAATGGATTTTATGGTTAGTAGTCAGCGCAATCTTCTAACATATCGCACTATCACGTGCAGATGCGAAGCATCCAGGAAGTTGTTTGTGAGCTCGGGCATAATGATATTGATGTTTTGTATGCAAGTGTTTGTTTTTGCTCGTAATTTATCAATTACGACTGAGGATTGCGCGATGAATGTGATATATGAATTGATGACTGATGCAGTGGGCGATTTACAGTGGAAGACTTGTCAGTGGTACCCGTGAATTCATACAAAGAAATCGAACAGAAAATGGACGAGGGCACCAAGCAGAGGACGATCGCTGCAACTGACATGAACGCTACGAGTAGCAGGTTTGTGACTTGGTCACTCTTATATTTCGGAGACTATTACACAACTACTGAATAAGCTAGAAGCATATCCAGCAAACTACTCAATTGGTGATTTTTCGCATGCAACAAAACAAACGCAAATCTAGAATCTGTTCAAGCGCATACGGTGAATTGCATCTGAATGCGCACTTTGAATAACTTAGCCAAGTCGATCACCAAATGTGGTCGCTTCTGAGCAAGACACTAAAACTATGCAATCACTTCACTAACGATCACTAACTAACGTACGTTTGTATAGTTTTAGAACGTTCTTGTTTTTAGAGCTCATACAATTGTTAAAATTCAATTCAATCAAAAATCGCAGAAACCTGGTGGAGGGACAACAACGAAGACGTCACAGATTAATCTCGTCGATCTGGCTGGAAGGCAGTTTTCGATTTTATCGTTGATTTCAATTTGTTCAATTTAATTGCTGTTTTCAGTCGACGATCTATATAACTCCGATAAAGAAAGCAACAACCAATTTCTTGAACCTTCTCTTTCACTGCAAAATTCATCCGTATCAGAGCAATCAAAAATTTCCTTGCAACAGATGAACTGCGGGCAAACAGACACTGCGATACAAAATCTTAGTGCTGCAGAGAGTGCATAGAACAAGTTTCAGCGAACGTCAAAAAGACGCAGCTTCAGAGGGTGATCGTCTTAAGGAGGGCATCGTTATCAATCAGTCCCTGTCAGCGCTCGGTCGTGTCATCAAGGCTCTTTATGAACAACAAGGAAAAAAGAGAAAAGGCATTTCGGTATACGATTTCCATTCGTCAGCTAATGAGAATACTACCATAAAAAGACGGATGGATACCTTTTAACTAAACGAAAAACAAAAAAAAATTCGGAGGTTATTTGAAAAAAGTAACGTCGAAGTTGAACCAAAATTTAAAGTTTAACTAAATAACCAAAGCTTTTGAAATACAAGTACAAATCTGTAAGTGTTTTTTTTTTTTAAATTCCAACATTCGTTGTATTATTTGTTTATTCCTCGTTAGACTAAAAGTCGCCTATGATAAAGTTTGAAAGATCAAATGTTTGCACCATCAGATTCCATACCGAGATTCAGTCTTAACATCGTTACTCAAAAACGCACTTGGAGGTAACAGCAAGACAATTATGGTTAGTTGCGAACTGGAATGTTCCTTTGTTCTTTCAAATGACCACGAAACTCTGAATTCATCATAATATCACTTTTCACACATACCACGGTTCCATAATGTGTGATATTACTAATTAAATGATACCACCTTCACCGATATCATTATGCTTCTTGCATCACTGTAGTGTTCATGTTGCACCGCATTTTTAAGCATCACCAATAATTTATGCATTTGCTCATGAACATACTACATTGTATAAGTTTTTGTTGAATCATGAACAAGCGCTGAAAAGTAAGTGCAAAATTTAGATCGCTGCAATATCACCAGCAGATCTGAATTATGAGGAGACGTTATCGACACTTCGATTTGCGGATCGTGCGAAATCAATCAAAACACAGGCGATTATCAACGAGTCTGCAACCGAGCGAATGATACGTGAACTGAAAGAAGAGAATGCACGACTGCTGGAAATGATTCAATCGGACAAAAAGGACCCTCATTCACTCAGTGATTCCACTGATTCACAACAGGTTTGATAATCTTCCGATTTCGAGTTGTGGTTATCATTGTCACTGTTGCGTTAATGATGTAAAGCCTATGAAGGCACTTACTATTATTGTTTCTGTTTTCATTCTCACGGTTATTAACATTGTTACTGACATCAGCATTACTTTCTCATGAGCAGGATGAAGTGGAAGCGTTGAAAAAGCAACTCGAAGAGAATCAAAAGGAAATGGAACAACTGCAGAAGACGTGGCAACAGCGTCTCGATGAACAGAAGCAGAAAGTATTCTATTGTGAACTAATAGTTATTCTGTGAACGGAGAATTTTATTGAATATTTTCATCGACTGAACGAACCCTCTATCACAACAATGTGACGAATATATCTATTGAGATGTTGGAATAATTGTATACTTAGGGAATCAACCTCCTGTTGCATGCTCATCGGAAATGTTCCTTTTCTCCTTAGAGCAGAGCTTTATCCGAACCGAAAGGTGCACCACATAAGCATGAATCAAGCGCTTTGCACTGTTGTTTCAGAGCAAATTATTAGGTATTCCATGTATCATTGAAGGGCAATATGAGTGACGAAAGATCGACGATAAGCGAAAGACGTCTAGTGGAACCGCATTTATGGAACTTGAACGAAGATCCAGCATTGACCGATATGATCGTTTACTTCATCGGGACCGGTCAAGTTAAACTTGGTTTGGATTGATTTTATACGTGAATTTATCAAGGGAATGCAAATCCGAGATTGAATGTGATTCGCCAGATCATATCCGAATGAATACTTCAGAGTATTACTGAGGGATTAGGTACCCAGTAATTTTGTTGAACGATCAACTCATCAGGAAACTAACTATGAGATGGGGACCGCTCTTGACACCATCAACTCGAAGATGGCCAACAGCAATCATGAAATTGCATTGAATTCAAATGAAACTGCATTGAAAATCGTTTCGATTGTTGTGCATAATATCTGAAATAAAAATGGTGATCGATGAGTTTGAAGGAAGCGAGTCGTCAGCAGATATACAGCTGAACGGCTTGAACATCCAAGCGCAACATGCGACATTCACGAATAAAAACAACAAAAAAGTGACACTAACACCAGTGAACGGTGCCGAAGTGCTGGTCAACGGCAAACCGATTCACTCTCAAGTGCTACTTCAGACAAACGACCGGTGATTTTGCAAGAGAATCATTAGTATTGCAGTCGAGGAGCTGGAACTAGCGATACTAACAAATTAGAGATACTAACACTGCTGAACTGAGTATCAGAGATGATAGCAACTTGTAACATAACGAATATTTGTCTGATAAAAGATAAGCAAGTTAATCGAATTGAGGATATTCTTCGGTGGCAATCATCTTTATGTGTTCGTGAATCCGAATAAGAAGAGGAAGGATGACAACGTGAAAATCACGTACGATATGGCTCAAAAAGAGATTGCAAAGAATTCTGGATTGACGGCTGCGTTTGCAAATGCGGATAATGAAAATAAATCACCAGGTGAGAAGAAATATCGATGGAGAGATGCATTTGATGAGAGTTGCCTGGAAGTAATGATGCTCAACTTGTAATCACAACTAAATCGGATACGTATTCTGGTCATAGTGAATAGTTTAGCGAGGCATAAGTTTTCTAGATTGAATCAAAACGCCATTTTGACTGGGAAACTTTTATTCTTTTAAGTACTAAATGTATAGAAAGCTATGCAAATAAGCTTAATGAAGAAAAGTGTTAATTTTCCAGCTGAACTCATCCTTGAAGAAGATCTAATAAATTTACTACCGAACGTATATCGAGCGAATTCGATGAGCAAAGAGCTGAACCGAAATGTCACTTTCGAAATTGTTCTCGTCGCACCTGAAGCACGTGGCCTTATCGATGGTCTCACTGAGGTTTGCTACCGTTGCATATATCCCATTTATACGTTGCTGAGAAGACAAGCTCTATTTAAGTTTAATAGGAAAAGTTTGAATTTATTGAGTTTACTGGTTGATAGCTGTGATTAACATTGAGGAGGGCTGATCATTTGTATGGTCGTCGATCGATTGCACCTTATAGATCAATCCATGACGAATATCATGAACTGTTCAAAAATAAACAAATAAGGAAATAANAGGAAATAAATAGTCACTGAGATATAACACATAAATTGAAGGTGATTTCAAAGATTATCTGACGTGCTTTACTTCAGTAAAGCATAAGAGTGTGTTCATGTTTAATCTGATACATTTACGTAAACATCATAATGAGTGATTTAAACAGATATGGATTAAAGTTTATGAAGCTGCTGACGATACACATTTTCTGTGGGAGAAGAATCGTTTCATGAATCGATATTACGGAATGCAGGAAATGTATCAAAATTTCGTTGAGGGAGACACCGATTGGGATGTTCCCAAAGTGAGTTGTGTTTACCTNNNATTATTGCTTGATTTAAGCAGTTTGTCTCATTATTATTGCGTTATTATCAGTTTTCGATCATAATTTTATTCCAAGTTATTATCAAGTACATTTTTATAAGTTGTCAGCAATTTTTGAAAGTGTCACACTTTGAAAGTTCCACATAATCGAAACAAATAAAAATCAAAAGATGATGATTGAGGAGCGCGATCCTTTTTATGAACCACCAGAAAGTGATGTGCTGATTGGATTCTCAACAGTATATTTACAAAGTCTCGCTTATCTGGTTGAACACGAAGAGCAGTTACCAATATTTGACTTTGATGGTCAAGATTTGGGACGGTTAGATGTGGCCATTATACCGTCGACGACGGCTGGCAAAGACATTCTGGGGGAATATGTTGAGGACCCGATCGAACTGGTTCGTTCGTATTTGTGTTTGCTTCGGGAATGTGACCTGTAGGAATTTAAAATTGTCGTAATTCAATAATGTGCAAACGAATTATTCACAACATTTAAGCGGCGAATTCAGCTTTAAAAAGCACGCACGCCAGCTCTACTTCAGATCGTTATGTTCAGGCGTTGAATATAAGAATAGATCAAAGTGAGCCTTTCAACTGGTCATTACAGTTGTGACGAGTTTATGTGTTCGTTTGTTTAATCTATTCAGTAATTTAGCAGAACAACGAAATTAAGCACTTTACAGGTTGGAAAGAATCTTTCGTTCAAAGTCAGAATACATGCAGCCGTTGGATTGCCACGTAGAGTCGATTCGGTATTGTGTACATTTTGAAGCTTTGAGATTCCGAAAAAAAAGTGTCTTCGAATAATCCAATCAAGTGCCGGTATTTATAATACCAAAGTGTCGGTATTTACTGTACCAAAGTTACTGGATCTATTGCGATTGATATTTGCAT